CATAGTCAATATTTTTAGACTTTTCCCAACAATTATTATTATAAGCAATGATTTATCATTGAATTATAATTTACTAATCCATTTAAGTGACTCAATGACAAGGTACATTTGGAATTGGACGCAATTAAAACAAYATTTATGGAAAAGGCGTTAGACCTCATAATATCGTTCCTGTATTCACCTGTATAAATGTACCACATACTGACATACTTGAGTGAAAATGTTTTCTACTAAGGTTTTTGTGTTAGTATGAATAATAAATATTTTATATACAAGATTATTAATTTTATTAATTTATTATTTATAAATATAAATTTACATTAATAGGCACATTGTAAAATAACAATTGTAACGTTACAAAAAAAAAGAAATAGTGCACCGCGCGTACTATGTATCAAAGTTCCACCGTACCACCGTCCGCACGCCACACCACCTGTGTTCGCAATCAATTATAAAAACATGTCTTGCCCTTATAAATATAGGTCTTTGTCCAATACACTTTTAAAAAATACAGTCGAAGTAGTAAACTCATAGTTGATATTAAAAGTTTGAGTTAACCAAGTTTGGGAAGGAAAATATTGTTAAACTTGTCAAACTTGGATAACTCGAACTTTTAACTTCAATTTTGAGTTTACCACTGTATTTTAAAAAATTGTATCGGGGAAAGACCTATATTTAGAAGAGCAAAACATATATTTCTCAGAGTGCAATTGTGTTGATTTTTTTGTAGGTAAAAAGGTAAAACAGACGCAACCGTGTTACAGCCATCTTTGCCTCATTGGTGAAAAAAATGTTCGTTTCATACTATCATATAGTATATTATAGGAACTTTTCCCTGAGGAACCATATTATTACATAATTTGGTAAACTTATTAGTTATTACCTACTATTCAGTAGAGCGAGTGACCTAGTTTTGTTTTATATAATATTTTTTTTTTTTTTTTAATAGAAACAAAGGTTTGCTTTCAATGAAACAACTATACAAGTATAAATCGATTATAAGAATATTTAATATATGTTTTTTATGATTTAATAAATAATATATTTACCTTAACATTGTTTCAATGAACATTTGTATTATCCCATAGTACAAAAAACTTCCACCAAACATTCGAACTAAAACTCTTAATAAACTAGGTTTCCGGTTTGTACTTTTTGCATTAATAATCTCTACCTTCCATCTCCTTGTGTCGGAACAATTTAAGAACATTTGTTAAGTTTAATTTAAAAAAGAATAAAATCTTATAAACATACTTTTCAATTTCATATCCTAATAATGATGACTTGTGATCGTTAAGTGGATTGTATAAATCAATGATCTCCAAATCTCTCTTTAAGAATTTTAAGATCCAGCTATATCATAAAAGAATAAATATATTAGAAGTATTAAAAATTAATAGAAAAAATTAATTTAATTTATGTTTCAAATGTTTTGAGACAATAACATATAAACGAGTCGGCGGTAGTTGTACACTGAAAAATTATTATTTTCATAGTTTTTTAAATGAGTGCTTTTTMTCTATGATTTCTCAAAAACTCAAAAAATAAAAGTGATTTTACGTGAAGGCATTTTGTCTAGGTTACGAGTGGGCTGGAAAAAGAAAATCAACTACATGACAAAGTTGTTTTTTTTTCAATTCTATTAGTTATAACCTTATATTCTAACACAACCATTTTTCAAAAACTTAGTAGCACCTAAATGTAAGAATTTCGAAGATATTTGCTTTGTTTCGTGGATTTGGTAGCTGTTTTTCTTTATGTCCCGCAGCTTCCATTTTGAACCTAAAACAATATTTAAAACAATTTATTTAGGTAAATTTATGTAATGTAGAAGAATACAGTCAGAAATGTAATGTATATAAAAATATTATAATAACATTAGTACCTTCACCAATATTAAAGTAATATTATAATTACAAATAAATTTATGTCTGGGACTAATAGTCCCGGACTATAAGCAAATTAAAAAAGTTTCAAAAATACTTCAATATAAAACTATACAATCATAGAAAAATCTGCAAGTATCAGTGTATGTAACGATTACCTTCACGATAATGAATGAAATTCAATTAACAAAACATTTTACTAAGTTTTTAAAAACTTAGTCTAAATATTGAAATTAATATAGGTACCTACTTTCTGTCAACATTAAATAAAATGGAATAATTTTAAATTTTATCTTTAATAATTAGAAAACAATAATTATTTTTTAAACACAACAATTTACAAATATGTATAATGTGCTCCTTTAATACATTTCTCTATTTCTTAAAAAAAAACCAAATTTTTTTAATTTAAACAACGCCATTGAGTAAAGCAAAATATTTTAAACTCGAAAACGAACGCATGTAATATCATAATTCATAACATATCTAGTCAAAACAATGAAGTACTAGTATCCCATGGCAGTTCATTTATTTTACAAGAATCACTTTATCTCAATTAATTCTTATTAGGAATTTTATTATCATGTACCTATTAAATATTCTTTTTGATATTTCTATTATGTTATTTATCATTTAAAGCGACAAAAAAATATGTTTGCCAGTAATTCCTTAACTGTTCTGAAATTATGTCTTACTTGGTAGTTTGATTAACCCGTTTGCCGTTTTAATTGCTGATCCCACTAAGTACTAGGTACTATTTGACTTTTATACAAACTGTTCAACTAATTTAATAACTACTATAATAAGTCAAAATTTGTATACAACAGATTTTGACTACCTCCGTGACTTATGAGCTACCTGTATATTTATACCAATTATTGTATTTGCCACATTGTTTAAATAAGTATTCAACATACACCTATTAAAAACTAATTATGACAAAATGCTGAGCGCGTTATCCTTACTTTCAACATTATTAAATTTAAATTGATTTTATGTAACAGGAAATTCTCGGACTTCTTAGCACTGGATTTTGGTGTGTTTTTGTTTTATGAATATAATGTGATTAAAGGTGATGATTTAATTACATTCAAATCCATTAAATTATTTTGTTACGACAGCAATTTCTTACATTTTTTTTAATAGCTTTTCTAAATTCTCAGTTTTAATTTTGAAAAATTTATTAGGTATATAAATACATTTTAGAGAAATTAGATATGTAAAAAAAGAAAAATGATTTTAGTTATTATTTAGTTATAATTTAAAAATATTAATTTTGGATTTCGAAAAACTCTTTACAATAGAAGTAAATAAGGAAGAAAATATTTAGATCATAATTCACAAGTAAGTTTTTATCACATATTAAGATAATGATACAAACATATAAAATGATTCTTGTATGTTTTATTATTTATTATTGCATAGAATCAAAATTGTATAATGACCGTGTAGAGAAACATTTAGAGAAGAGTAGGAAAACCATATTCAATGATTTTAAAAATATACAGAAAAAGAAACAAAAAGTAACACAGCAAAATAATAACAATTTATTTTTAAATTATTTATCTCCATGACAAATACATAAAAATATGTTGGTGTGAAAATAAAAAGCGATAATTGAAATTAATCTAATACTATTTAATAATAATAAAAAATTAATTTAAAGCCATATGCTTAAAAACTTATTAGAATTAGATTAACTATATTAATTGTAGATCTATTTTAACATAGGTAATTATTAATAGTAATAGTAAATGCTGTAAAAATAT